GCCTCAGTTGTGCATTTAATGTGTCTTTAATATTTAGATGACTTCTAGTCCCATGTTTTTAGTAAACTGTTTTTAGTTTTGATAATGTGCTGTGAAAGATGAAAATTTGAGTGTGTTGTGTATGTGATAATAAGTTTCAGTGAAGTTAGGACTGTCAGTGTTTGATGATACTGTTACATGAGTCCACCAGGTTCAAAGCTGGAACATCACTGGAATGACTTAAAAAGAAACACAATAGATGGTTCTTTAGACTTTTTGGTACATGTGTGTGAATTGTGTGTGAATTGAAATGTCTGTGTACTAATCCTCAACCAATAAAAATCTCTGTACAAAAAAAAAAGAGTAAAACTTTTTCTTTTTTTACCGTGTTTAGATACCACAAAGTAGGTGGCAGTGCCTTAACCGTACGTGTGTTGTCGGGCCCAAGGGCCTCTTCCATCCTTGTTGAGAGGGGTGCTAACTTTGTCTCCTTTCGTACAACACAAAAAGTAAAAATATCTTAAAGCAGGACTTTGTGAATTGGATAAAGGAAAATGGTATTCTGGATATCCAAAAACATGTCTTTTCTTTTGTCTTTTGTATAGTAATATACATATAACATAAAGTTACCATTTTAATCCATCATTGTACAACCACCCCCACTGTTCCCCAAACTTTCATATTCCCAAACTGAAAGTCAGTATTCATTAAACAGTAATCCTTGCATCCCCTCGGAACCATCAGTCTACTTTCTCTGTGAATTAGACTATTCTAGGCACCTCATGTAAATGGAATCATAGAGATTTGGCCTTTTGTGTCTGGCTTGTTTCACTTAACAGTGCTTTCAAAGTTCACCTAGGTTGAATTTATTTTCTCTTTAGGATCACTGTTTAGTTTTAGCAGTTGTGGGAATACTAGTGATATTTCCTGAGATGGTGAAGACTTATGAAGGAGAGATTGGAGGTAAAAGTCACTTTTCTTTTAACTATGTTGTTGTTTTTTAAAATATATTTTATTTCTATTTTACGTGTATGAGTTATTGCCTGCATGTATGTGAGTGCACCTGTGTCATGCAGTGCTGCAGAGGTCAGAAGAGGGCTTCAGATTCCCCTGGAACTGGAGTTAAGGACGGTTCGTAGCTGCCATGTGGGTGCTGGGAATCAAACCTGGGTCCTTTGCAAGAGCGGTCAGTGCTCTTAATCGCTGAGCCATCTCTCCAGCCCATAACTATAAGTTTTAAGTACCCAATAGACACCTGAGTGTGTTGAGGAAATCCAGAGCTCAGAGGAGAAAGTGGGGCTGGTGATTTAGATTTGATTGTCATTAAAGTATAGGTAGCATTTACAGCCATAGAACCTTAGAAGGAAGAGTGGATTTGAGAAAATGGTCTTTTAGCTATTTGTACACTTTAAGGCTATGGTAAAGTAATATATATGTATATATTCTGAGATGCATCTAAGTTGTTACAGAATTAAAAATTAGTTTTAAATTTGTTTGCCTCTCCCCAATTCTTTTACTTTCTTTGACTTAAAATACTAACAAGCTTTTTTTGTTTGAGATCTTTGAGGAATTAAAAAGTGTCAGGATGAATTCGGTGTTTACTAGAGGGATTATTCCCCAAAGTTACACAGATGACAAATTTTAGAAATTTTATGGTAGAGACAATTGGAAACTTAATAGATGCCAGTGAAAATAGGCTAGAAGGGCCTTGCTCATGAACAGAGCATTGTAGTGAGCGACCCAGCCCACAACTAAAGGTGACATCCATCCAGGGGGGATGTTGGGGAAATCTGTGTACTTGATTTTTCTCTAGCAGCAGAGAGACTTTCTGTTAGAGTGCTAGTTCCTTCCTTTTCCAAAGGATTCCATTTCAAAGGAAAGATCAGACCACTCTGGGGAGAGGTGGGGGTGGAGGGAGTATTTGGAACCACAGGGATATTTGCAGAAATACTGGGGTAGAACTTTCCCTGAACACTAGTTCTTAGGCATTTGACCAGGTACTTAGTATTGTTTGTTTTGTTTTCTCTCCTCTCCCTTCAATGAGAACCGCTCAGCATGATTAGCTCCCAATTTAGTCTTTATAATAATCACTCCATGGAGCTTGTGAATTCAGTTCTTTTTAAAGAACTTTCCCCACTTTAATACACAGTTTTGAGTATGAAATCTTTGCAGGAGTAGTCTAGTAGTCAAAATTGTTTCCTACATTATTAAGTGCAGAAAAAAGGAATATGGTTTCAGGTTACTAAACAGATCTTGTGCTTAAAGAAAAAGGCAAATTTGAGAATCTTGGAGAGTCTACCAAATGCCATTTTTCAAAGAGGAAATGAAGTCAGGAGAGAATAGCTTTGCTTGGGAGCAAGTCCTATAATTGGATCAGTTCAGTTAATGTCTGCCTCTGAGGAAATGCCCTGCAAGGCCTCTGCTTCTTGTGGTCCTTGAGCTAGGGCGCTGGCATTTTTATATGCGCTGTGGAAATGATTGCGGTAATATAAATAACATTTTATTTTTGTACATGATTAGACAAGGAAGATGGAAGCCAGCTGTCACATGCGTGTCTTGTGAAGCACTGTAGGAAATATGACATAAGCTGTAGTAAATCACAGGTGGCCGAGAGGGCGCTGCTGAGGCTCACAGACCAGGGAGGGGCAGATAACTTCTCTTGTTTCTCTCACTGTTGGTTTTGGCTCTGGCAGAATTGGAAGCTTAACTGATTGTATCACACAGCCTGTGCTTTTATGATTTAGTTTGTGAAACTGAAGAATCCAAGGCCTTCCTTTAATCTGTGGTTATTAACTACTGATATACGTCAGATGGCTGTGGTAGGAATTTTGGACAGAGTGGTAAAGAAGACAGCCCAAGCAATTTGCTGATATCTGGGGTAAGTGCTGCAGAAGTTCTGGTGTTAGGAAAACACACTGAGATGCTGGTCCTGACCTGAGGCTTGGGAGAAGCGTTAGCCCAGGGAACACTATTGATCGTACTTGTCTTTTTGCAACACCATTATCTTATCTGAGTAGATCTCTGTTAAGGTTTTCAAGTTGCCGTTGCCACAACGCTTATTGATTTATATATTGCTCATCTCAGAATGAATCTCCTATTCTCAGAAAATATGTTCTAAGACCCCCAATCAGCTCTTTTTTTTTTTTTCGGTCTTTTTGAGACAGGGTCTCCTTATAGCCCCAGCTGTCCTGGAACTCACTATGTAGACCAGGCTGGCCTCGAACTCACAGAGATCCGCCTGCCTCTGCCTCCCGAGTGCTGGGATGAGCCTGTGGGTAGTACTGAACTCTGTAACGTAATGCCTATTCCATCATAACTAACATCATGTGGGATGACCATAGTCTTTGCTGTTTGAGTTGTGATACTAAAACTAGCTTGGACTCTTTTTTCCTTCCCTGCCGTTTCAAGGTTAAACAATTCATTCTGGCTAGATCTCTGCAACCTCAGCAAATGTTAGTTTTTTCTTTTTCACTAAAGGACGCACTTAACAGCTTCTCTTTGGCACGGCTGAATTACCAGCATCACTGTTCCTGGGCTTAGGGGACCATCTTTAAGTAAAACAGGTAGTTTAACACAAGCTCTGCTATACTGCTAAAGTTGGCCTGATAATCAAGATTGCTGCCAAATAACTAATGGGTAGAAACCATGAATACGCTGGACTGAGAGATCATTTGCACCCCAAGTGGGTCAGGGTAGGGTGGAGCTGATGGTGTGACATTTCATTATGATAATCAGACGGTATGCAGTTTAAAACACATAAATTATTTCTGGAATTTAGGATTTAATATTTTCTGACTGTAGTTGACCACGAGTGATTAAAAATATGGAAATGAAACCAGGGATAAGGGGGACACTGTGAATTTCAGTACCTCATTTCTTTTTATTGTGAGTAGTATTCCAGTGTATTGATGCACCACATACACATGGATTATTTCACCTTTTGGCTATTATGATCAGTGTTACTATGTATATTTGTGTGGAAGTTTTTATATGGATATATAATACAGTTCTACCAGTGGAATTGCTGGATCAATTAAAAAAGAAAGTTTAACTATTTGAGAAATTGCTACAGTGTTTTCCAAAGTAACTGTACCTTTTTTTGCTTTGTTTTTGAAACAGCATCTTGTGTCCTTCAGGCTGGATTGGAACGCCTTATCCTCCTACCTCTGAATCCTAAGTACTGGATTATAAGTGTATTTTGAGGTTTTGTTTCATTTTGTTGTATTGCTGGGTGCTGGACCCGGTCCTTCTGAACGCTAGGCGGGTGCTCTGCCCCCGCGCTGACCAGCTGAGCCCCAGCTGTGGCTGTGCCGCTGCTCGTTCCCGTCAGTAGCAGTGTCTGAGGGTTCCAGTTTCTCAGCACCACTCCCAGCACCGGCCTTTCTTTTCGACTGTGGTCTTTTTGTGGGTGTGAAGAGGTGTTTTATGGTTCTGTCGTAGTTCCTGGCCGTGTTGTGTTAAACAGAGATGAGAGTGAAGCTGGGAAGTTAATTGGTTGATGTAGTAAGAAGTCATAGGAGAGCGTGGTTGGCATCTGTGCTGGGTGCTTTGGTGTCACCTTGACACACCTGGGTTGAGGGAGCCTCAATTAGGGAATTGCCTTCATTGGACTGGCCTGTGGCCATGTCTGAGGGGCATCTTCTTGATGAGTGATGTGGGAGGGTGCAGCCCACTGTGGGTGGTGCCACCCCTGGGCAGGTGGGCCTGTGTTGTATAAGAAAGCAGGCTGAGCAGGAACCAGGGGAGCGGGTCAGTTAGCAGCGATCCTCCATGGCCTGTGCTCCAGCTCCTGCCTCCAGGTTCCTGCCCTGAGTTCCTACCTTGGGCTCCCTCATGAACTGTGACCTGGGAGATGTAAGATGAATAAACCCTTCCTCCCGAAGTTGGTATTGGTCAGAGTGTTTTGTCACAGTAGTGGAGAAACCAACTAGGACAGCATAAATATATTTTAGCGTTTTGTAAGGTTTTACATTATCTTTATGAATATCAGTCTTTATGGTTGAAACACCTTATTTTCTACCTTAAGTTCAATAAATTTAAGGTTCCTGAGAAATAATTTCTCCAAGTCCCTAAATATTTTTGTATTATTTATTTGCACGTGCGTGTGCTGTATGTGTGTGCATGTGCGTATGCCTGTTCACGTATGTGTGCGCCTATATGTGTGTGTAGGTACATATGGGTGCATGTGGAGGCCTGAAGTTATATCAGGTGTCTTCAGTAATTCTCCGCCTTCTTTACTGAGGCAAGTTCTGTCACTGAACACACAGCCTGGCTAGGCACCTTTCCCTGGGGACTCCCTGCCTCTGCCTCCCAGGTGCTGGAATTTCTGGTGACCACCATGCTTGCCTGGCTTCTCTGTGTGTTTTGGGAATCTCAACTTTAGTCCTCACAACTGTGTGGCGAGTGCTTTATCCACTGAGTCATCTCCCCAGTTCCTGTTTTCCCCTTTAAAATATGGTAGTCACCCATTGGTCCCTAAACAACATAGTTGAGAACGTCTGAGT